CAGTTCGTTCCAAATTGGAGTGGTTGGGGTAATTCATAGTTCTAGCGATTGGAACACATCAAATGACTGCTGCCACCATATTATGATGTTGCCCAAGTTTTGGGCTCGATCCGAAATCAATTGGTGTAAGAAATTGGAGAATTCGAGTTCGAAGGCAGTTCGTTCCAAATTGGAGTGGTTGGGGTAATTCATAGTTCTAGCGATTGGATTTCACTCAAAAAACACCAAACGACTCCTCCCACCATATTAAGATGTTGCCCAAGTTTTGGGCTCGATCCGAAATCAATTGGTGTAAGAGATTGGAGAATTCGAGTTCGAAGGCAGTTCGTTCCAAATTGGATTGGTTGGGATAATTCATAGTTCTGGCGATTGGATTTCACTTAAAACACATCAAATGACTCCTGCCACCATATTATGATGTTGCCCAAGTTTTGGGCTCTATCCGAAATGAATAGGTGTAAAAATTGGAGAATTCAAGTTTAAAGGCAGTTCGTTCCAAATTGGAGTGGTTGGGTTAATTCATAGTTCTGGCGATTGGATTTCACTCAAAACACACCAAATGACTCCTCCCACCATATTATCACTACTACAAAAATCGAAATAGACGACTGTAATCCACCGTCGTGTATTCGGTTTTTCAACCGTCGTGAAATCGAGCGACATCTTTTGATGCATAAAACCACGATGGTAAATCCCCGTCGTCTATTATTTGTACAGACGGCGCTTTTACTCAAAACCGTCGTCTATTATTTGTAAATAGACGACGCTTTTTCTCAAAACCGTCGTCTATTATGAAGTAAGGACGACCCTTTTTATATGAAAATGGTCGTCTATTATATGTAAAGACGACGGTTTTTATTTAAAAAGGGTCGTCTATTATATGTAAAGACGACGGTTTTTTTTATAAAAAGGGTCGTCTATTATATGTAAACACGACGGTTTTTATATAAAAAGGGTCGTCTATTATGAAGTAAAGACGACCCTTTTTATATGAAAATGGTCGTCTATTATGAAGTAAAGACGACCCTTTTTATATGAAAATGGTCGTCTATTATGAAGTAAAGACGACTCTTTTCATATAAAATGGGTCGTCTATTATATGTAAAGACGACGGTTTTTTTATAAAAGGGTCGTCTATTATTAAGTAAAGAACTATGTTTTATTATATCCAAAGACGTCGGTTTCGTTAAAAAGCCATCATCTATTAAATGTGAAGACGACGATTTCTTGAAATATTGTCGTCTATTAACTCTAAGACAACGATTTTTTAGTAAAACCGTCGTTGATTGTATATAAAAAGACGTTATGGTGTTAAAAGAGGTCATTGATAATATATACAGATGACGGTTTTTCCAATAAAACCATCGTTTTATTATCTTTAGTTTTTTGAAGAGTCAATAGTTATTACATAGTCAACCAATGTTTATTCTATTACATACATACTTCCTACCTATAATTAGAAACAACGGAGCTCACAAATTCTACTAATTTGATTTTAACTTCATCAATTTGTTCTTGGGTTGACTTAGCTCTGCCTTCTTGCACCTTTTCCAAGTTGTTGGTGTCGGAAAAGGAAAGACCTGCACGAAAGAGACCCCAATACTCTTAAACATAAACTTGTTTAGCAGTAACCTAACCTTAGCAAAAAGATCTATGCAGCTCTAGAATGACAGCAGAACACAATTGGCATAATTGGCAAAGTACCTGTTCTTGTGGTGGCACCATAACAAATGAAAAATCAGAGATTCAGAAAATTAACAATGAAATTCCAAAATAATTAAAGTAAACAACAAAAACAAAAAGTATTTTGGACCTGATGATGCTGTCGGTCCAAAAACAAACGGATCTAGTGAGGGATGAGTCTGTTTTGCCTCATCTTCTTCGTCAGCTTCTTCTTGATTACAAAGGCCTTGTGGGACGGCTGTGCATATTTATAAAAAAACCAAATGAGAAACTCACTTAAATCCCACGAAATTAGCACAATACATGAACAAACATATATATATATACCGATTTCCATAAGTCTTTCTAGATCGAGTCGCTAAGTTTGATGAGCGAGTTGAGTGCCTGAGAGCGAGATCTTCTTTGAAGAAAGTGAAGGTCGAGATCTTTCAAATCAAACCTTTCAAGCGAGATCTTCTTTGAAAAAAGTGAAGGTCGAGATCTTTCAAATCAAACCTTTCAACCAGCTTTGATTCTCAAATACAGAACCTCCCTCTACATCTTATGGATATGCGAAGACCTCAATCTCTCAACTCCTTCATTGATATCGATTTTTTGATGATTTTGTAGAGAGTTTCATGAGGGTGTTTTAGAGAGTGCAGGAGGGTTTCAAGGAGGGAGAGATAAGGTTTTCAGAGACGGAGGAAATTCTGAAAATTTGTCGAGCGCGAATTTACTTAAGTAGCCTTTTTTTAGCGTGTTTTAAAAGACGACGCTTGTTAATGAGAGATAAAGTTTTCAAAGACGGGTGAAAATTTGAAAATCTGTCGAGCGCGAATTCACTTAAGCGGCCATTTTTTAGCGTGTTTTAAAAGACGACGCTTTTTAAAAAAAACCCGTCATCTTAACATATAATAGACGACCCTTTTTATATAAAAAGGGTCGTCTTTACTTCATAATAGACGACCATTTTCATATAAAACGGGTCGTCTTTACTTCATAATAGATGACCATTTTCATATAAAAAGAGTCGTCTTTACATATAATAGACAACCCTTTTTATATAAAAAGGGTCGTCTTTACTTCATAATAAACGACCATTTTCATATAAAAAGGGTCGTCTTTACTTCATAATAGACGACCCTTTTCTTAAAAAACCGTCATCTTTACTTCACAATAGACGACTTTTTTTTTTAAAAAAGCGTCATCTC